CTCATCCCTGGTGCCCTTCCTCTCTGGAATCAGTTCCCACTACCCTCTCCTTTGCTTCCTCCTGTGCCAGGTTCTCGGTGTTTGCCATTCCTGTGGCCTGCAGTCTCTTCCCCTAGCTAGTGCCCTCACTCCCTGCAGATCTGTGCTCAGTTGCCAACTTTTCACTGAGGCCCTCCCAGGCCACCCTATTTAAAATTGCAAAACCCCTCATTAATTCCTAGGCTCTTTCCCCTCTTCACGTGGTCCTTTTCCCTCCGGCTGTCTGACATGCTATAGATTTTACTTATTCTTCTGTTTGCCCCACTAGACTATCAGCTCCGTAAGGACAGGGATCTTTGTCTGTTTTGTTTACAAGGCCCAGAGCCTAGAACAGGCCTTATCCAGCACGTAGCGAAATAAACGCTCAGGAAATACTAGTTGGCTGATGGAGAGGTTTCTCATGACTCATCTCCTGAACAGGCCACAAGGATTCCCTTATGTCCCATGCAGCACCCAGCACCCAGCAGGTGTTGGACATGTGGCAGATGACCAAATGGACCCTAGGGAGTGGGCCCTTTCCAGTGTCCTGGACTGGACCCTGCCCCCATCAGGGTGCCTTTGATCTCTGTATTCTTCATCTCACAGCTTACTGACCTGCTTACCCCCCTCCAGACAGGAATACGGTGTGGATGGGTGACAAGCTGGTGTCCTGTGAAGAATGAGCCCATAAAACACAGTTCAGCAAGGTAGCTGTGCAGGCAGCACGGAAGACTAAATTCACTTAGGAGCCCAAGATCATGCTAGTTTTGTCCCTTCGTTAAATGAAGCAGATAAAGTCTACCTTGCAAAGTGGTTGCAAGGATCAGGCATGATGAATATGATGCAGCCAAGGCGATGCTTGTACCCAGTAGGAGCCCAACAGCTGAGGGCTCTTAGACGACGAAGTGGGGTCAGCACTCCTACCCGACCACCCAGGGCGGTGACACCGTTGATGGTGACGAGGACGTAATGCATCATGAAGTCCAAGGCCACCTGGCAGCCTTTACCTGCTTTACCGTGTCCGCGGACACGGTTATTTCTTCAGGCTGTAGGAGCTGGCCAAGACCCACTCGGGCATTTCACACAGCCTGTTTCCTTCCTCAGACAGCAGCATCGAGGACTTTAGACCTTACACATTAGGAGCATGCATCTGTGTCATACTTCAAAACTGATTAGGACTGGGTCCAAAAACAACGTCAAAAGAATTCCCCAGTTCCCAGATAATAGCTACTGTTTTGCACTGTTATAATACGACAATTAAAGCAAGAGGGATGCCGCCACCATTCTGACAGAGAGAATTCTCCTCTCTATACACAGAGGGAAAATGTTGTCTCCACCACCGGTGAACTTAAAAGCAAGCCAATCATCAATCAACCCCCACGAAAGCCTGTATTTTGACACTGCCTGACTTCTCTGAAAGTTTTCCTTTTCCTTTCCTCTCTTTTGCACTTTGAAATTTCCCCTCCGGTTATTACTTCCGTTTGGACCCTCCCTATTATTCCACCTTCCTGTTTGCCTACCTTTGGTTTGGTCTGCTTTGCTTCTCTCCTATAGCCTGGTGTCCTTGGTCCTCAGCGAGTTAACTCTGCACACAGCCCTTCCAGGTAGGATCTTAAGTTCCTAAGCCCATCTCCCCTCCTGTGTCACAGCTCTTCCGGCCTTTATGATACAGGTGATGCCTCCGGGGCTCCAAGTTTCTAGTTCCCCATTTCCACTAAATCCAGTGCGTTTCGAGGAAGGCTTGGTTCCTTCTATTTAATAGCTAAGGGCTCGGAGAGACTCTCAGACCAGGAAAAGTTCGGTGCGTCCTTGCTTCCTTGCAGCCTGCAGGAGTTAACTTGCAAACAGCACTTAGGAATACTAAGGAGAGACTGAAATACAAGGGAAAAGAAAGTGTTGTGCATGCTGCTGTCTCCTGGAGAACAGTGGTGAGGCCAAGAGATCTCAGAAGCCTTGGCAGCTATGGGTAACCCATTGGCCCCAGGCCACAGGTTTAATAGGGGCGTCCTGCCGCTCCATCTCCTCTTGTGTCCCCCCGTCCCCACCGACCCCAAGTGCCCAACTGCTCCAACCCTTTGGCAAACACAACACCCTCGAAAGAGTTGGACCTTGGCCCACTGCTTCTCCGTTGCCAACCAGCCAAGAGAACACCTGCTTTTCATTCTCTTCAGGGGAAGTGTGAATTTTTCCCTTGGGGCTGTAACCTGTGCCTGTGCTATAATCCTTCTCCCTGTTTTCTTTTTTGACATCCTCTAGCCTCACTCCAGAAGGTGTCCAAGTGAGCCCCAACATCTGCTCTCTTCACGGTCCAGGATCACCCTTGAGTTTCCGCAGCCGGTCAGGGACGGTGCATGGCGGACGACTTTGCCTCTATGGTTTTGTTTTCCTTTGTCTACGTTTGGTTGGCATAAACACTCCTGAAAAATGGTCTGCAGCTAATGCCTTTTCGTTTGGCTCCCTTTAACGAGGGGTTTATAAAACGACTCTTACTATGCAGAACACATGTTCTAAGTATACAGTTACTTGATGGATTGAAACAGTGCTGAGGGAAGCAGAACACATGTTTCCAGATATTCCTGAAATGCATAATTACCCGGTGGACCAATCGGGTACATAATATACATTTTAATACACCATTTAATTGCTGTTTACCTAGGAGACAGGAACCTTTCTGGTCTCTTGGGTTAAACTACAGATTTTTTAGAAACTGTCTAAACACATATTTACTTGATTCATTTTGGTCTCTTGGGCGAAGAATCCTTTTCCAAAGAAGTGGCCATACATGCAAAACCAGAGAATTCAATGCACTGAGGTAGCAGCTACCAAGGAAAAGACAAAGGCTTTATCTCTCATGTTTCAGGGGTAGCAATCCCAAAGCAGAGGCTGAACCCAAGAGCCCTAAAAACAAGCCATACCAGTAATTCACTGAAACCCACCCCCTCCCAACACCTGCATATTTTTTCATCATAACCCTTTCTGATAAAAGTGCGTAAATTGCATCACAGTGGCTTATTTGGGAAAGAACATTAAGGAGAAACAGCTGAAGAGCTCCATCTCTCGAACCCAAGTCCAAGGGAGACCTCCCTGTCTCTCTCCCCCCTGCAACCTGCCTCCCCTTGCACGCGCCCCATCTCAGCAAGTGGCACCAATATATCCACCTGGTATTCAGGTCAGCAACCAAGTGTCATCGTTTACTCGTTCCTCCTTCCCTCTCTCTCTTACATTCAACCAGTCAGAAACTATTTGGCCATGACATTTAGCTTCTCTGTGCTTTAGTTTCCTTGTCTGTAAAACAAAGACTGTGGTAGTAGAGACCTCATAAGGCTGTCACTGTAAGTTTTAGATGTCAATGTTCAGGACAGTTCTTAGCACACAGTGAGTTGTCCTTTTTCCTTCTCTTGTCCGTATTTAATATTTCTAAAATCTGTCCACTTCTCTCTATGACCACAGCCAACGCCCTAATTCAAGCTGCCATTCTCTCTCACCTGTGTCCCTAAGTGGTTTTTGAGCATTCAGTCCTTCTGACCCCACTCTGCCCCACTCCAATCCATTCTTTGCAAGGAAGCAGGAGCTGTCTCTCACCTCTAAATCTGAGCGTGGCATTCGTAAGCCTAAAAGCGTTCCGTGGCTCCTCCAATATTCTTAGGGTAAAAACCAACTTTTATTTTATTGTTTTAAGTTTATTTATTTATTTTGAGAGCGAGAGAGAGCAGGGGAGGGGCGGAGAGAGAGGGAGAGAGAGAGAGTCCTAAGAGAGAGTTCTGAAGCAGGGCTCGATCTCCTGAATTGTGAGATCGTGACCTGAGCTCACACCAAGAGTCAGATGCTGAACAGACTGAGCCATCCAGGGACCCCAAGACTAACTTTTATAAATGGCTTTCAGGGGTGCCTGGATGGCTCAGTCAGTTAAGCGTCCAGCTTCTGCTCAGGTTGCAATCTCACAGTTCATGGGTTCGAGTCCCAAGTCGGGCTCTGTGCTGACAGCTTGGAGCCTGGAGCCTCAGATTCTGTGTCTCCCTCTCTCTCTGCCCCTCTCCTGCTCATGCTCTGTCTCTCTCTTTCTCTCAAAAATAAATAACACATTTTAAAAAATGTTTTTCAAATAAAAGAAATGGCTTTAAGGCCCTTCATGATCTGGCCCTGGCTCCCACTCCAGCCCTGAGTTCTAGAAGGTTGTGGTTATCAAAAGTCTGACTTGAGCCTAAGTGGCACAAAACTATACACATGGGGCATGACAAAGCCTGGGTTCCTTTCTGACAACAAGGGGACCCTCTCAACATGTTGGTTTTAAAAGAACCATGAAAACCGTGCTATCTCCCCTAAATCCCTCTCCTTCCAAAGCCTGAGATTCCACTGTTAGTTGTCTTCGCCTCATAAAACAACAGTACCCCTGAGAGGGGCAATGCTTTAAGTTCCTTCCTTATCTCTGGTAGATACCTGACTTCTCATAACAGAGTACAGAAAAGTTTGGCACATGGCCCACAGATCTGGGCATGGGCTCGCAAGGGTTGGCCACTTGTCTAAAGTGACAAACCACAACTGCCCAGGAAAAAGTCCCTTAGTCTTGTGAGGGAAGTGGACCTGTTTCCTTCAAGGAGAGAGGATCAGGAGCCACAGGAGAACGGTTCTCAAACTTGAGCACGCCTCAGACTTCCCTGGGAGGTTTGTTAAAACACATTATGGGTCCCATTCCAGAGATTCAGATTCAGTGGGTCTGGGGTGGAGCTGGTGGGAGGTCAACGGGAGGTCAACGGGTCACCCGGAACCTCTGCCCGGACTTCATCCTGAGGCCGCAGTGCTTCAGGGGCCCCGTTCTGTGGCAACCTCTTTGCTTTCTTTGCTTTGTCTGTCCTCAAGTTGGTGAGGCCTGAGGCAACTAGGTCAAGGAGCAAAGACCACGCGGTGACAGGCCAGGAGGCCGGCTTTGGCAAGGGTGGGACTGTGAGCAGGGCTCACCGGAAGCAGCTGCACCAAGGCAGAGCTGAGATAACCGAGGCCTTTTCTCCGGGCACCTCAGAGCAATTTATTCTGCCTCGGCACACCCTTAGCTTCCAAAGGTCTGGGATCAGACCACAAGCCTCAAATTCTCTGAAGGGGAAAGCCTCTCTGCCCCACTAACCAACACCCGTGTCTGTGTCTGTGTCGATCAGCAGGGACTGCTCAGCCGCACATTGGAGTCCTGGTGTCCATAAGGAAGACCGAAGACGCTGGGCTGGGCACCTACACCTACATTCTCAGCCATTTCCACCTGCCCGTGCGTGAGAGAAGGTTTCGATGGTAGGAAGGCAGGCAACGGGGAAACTGAGAGGGACGGAGCTCCCGAGAAGGTAAGCACCTGGGGAATGCGAACAGACAGGAAGGGGGACGTGGTTTCCATGGTAATGGTCCAGAAGGGGAGCAGAGGTCTCACTGGTACCAGGCCCTCACTGCCTGCTTCAGGCCAACGGGGAGACCCAGGAGGAAAGGTTGATGATTACAAAGACTTTCTATTGGCTTTTGCAGCAGAAAGCAGCAGCGCCCGCTCGGAGCCCTAGGGAAGAGTCAAAAACTACCATTCACGATCGTAGATTTTCCAGCAGAAGGTGCCAGGTAAGGCCAGCTTATCTGAGCAGGGTGACAGATGCTGGGCCAAACCCGCTAGGGTTTAAGAGAGCAAACTTAGAGGCAGAGAGAAGGTAGGGACCGAGGGGCAGACGCCAAGGGACTGGAACCAGGGCAAGTGCAAACGCTGGAACAGAATTGAGGGTTCCCTCCCAGCACAGACTGGGGCGGCTGAAGCCACGTGCCCTACAAGACAGCCAGCTGTCCAGTAACCAGGGGGACCACTGCAGTTTCCAGGGAAGTCTAAGAGGTGGTGATGCAAAAGTTAAGCTTGTCTGGTGCCACGGCTGATGTAGGCGGAAGAGCCGCCTGACAAGATTTCCGAGGACGTCTGTGTGATAGCAAAGTATGCTAGCAGATGGGGGTCCAGGTAGTAGCAAGCCGGGTTCAGACCCTAGCTCAGTCACTCACCGACTGTGTGACCTTGGGCCAGTCACTTGAGCTCCCTGTGAATGTCGGTCATCATTTAGAGAGGAAAATAATAGTACCTACTTACTAAGGTGGTGTGAGATGTGAAATAAAAAATGTGGAAAGTGCTCAGCATCTCCCCCGGCACCGTGTGAGTACTGAATTTATTATTATCGTTGACAAGCCATGATGTCTATGACATATTATTAAGTGAATAAATAAAACACATGTATGGCACAATCCTCTTTATGTAAAAAGGCACCATTGTATTTCCCTCTGTGTGTGCGTTTATAAATACACAAAGAAAAGTCAGGGGGAAAAAAGAAAAGTCAGGAAGGATCAAACTGTTAACAAACAATGGTTAATTCTGGGGAGTGGAACAGGGGGAGTAGGTGAAAGAGGGTTTCGCCATTTCACTTACAAGCATCTGGACTGTTGGGGCCTTTCGGGGGTGAGGAGGGTGAGGGATGTGAAGGGGGAAGGCATTTTCTGTCTTAAGGGGCTGTGATCTGCAAACAGTGCTTTGCTGAGGCCTCGGTACTGATTTATTGGTCTGAGAACCTCCCATGTGTCCTTGGGTAGCACTTACCAAGTTTCTCTCTATGGGTGATACTGTTTACAAGGCACACACTGCCTTTGCTTAGTGGCCCTCTTTTCCCTAGGGCCAGGGCTACCTGCCTGACTTGGCCCCAGTGCAGGCTCCAGACCAGTCTAGAGCCAAGCCAGGAAAACCTGAAGAGCTAGACACAGATTCTTTGGTACTCAGCCCTGAGTGGGTTTCACGGCATTGATCAGAGTTTCCTGATTCTGATTGCTGAGTGATGCAGAGACCCTTTTCTCTTTTTTCCTCTTAGCAATAGAGTACCCCTGTAGCAAGCTGGATAATGTGCGCCCCTTCCCCGGCCCAAATATCAGTTTCTAATCCCTGAAACCTCCGAGTGTTACCTTACTTGGAAAACAGATCTTTGCAGATGTGATTGAGCATTTCCATGATCTGGAAGGAGCCTAAAAATGCAATTACGTGTATCTTTGTAACAGCGAGGTAGAGGGAAATTTTTACCTGGACAGAAGAGAAGCCGATCTGGTTCCAGAGGCAGGGAATGGAGAGATGTGGCCACAAATCACAGAATGCTGGAAGGCCAGCAGGCATCAGAGGTTGAAAGAGGCAAGGAAGGCATCCTCCCCCAGGAGCTTCCACAGGAAGAGCCGCCCTCACACCTTGATTCCAGCCCAGTGATACTGATTTTGGACATACGTCCTCCAGAACCATAGAGGATCACTTTCTGTTGTTTTAAATCGCCAAGTTTTTGCTACTATGTTACAGGAGCCACAAGAAACTACTACTACCACCCTCCTCCCTACCACACAGGTAGGGACTTCATCTCCCAGTCCCTCTGACAACTGGGAGTGGCCACGTGACCACGTTTGGCCCACGAGTCGAAGTGGTGTGTGGGGGCGCCTGGATGGCTCAGTGGGTTAAGCCTCTGACTCTTGATTTCAGCTCAGGTCATGATCTCACAGCTTCGTGAGTTTGATCCCTGTGTCAGGCTCCACACTGACCCTACAGAGCCTGCTTGGGATTCTCTCTCTTTCTCTCTCTCTCTCTCTTTGCCCCTCCCTGCTCATACTCTGTCTCTCTCAAAATAAATAAACTTAAAAAAACTATTTAAAAAAAGAAAAGAAGTGATGTGCATAATTTCTGCTTCCCGGGTTTCAAAATAAAGTGTCTTACCCCTCTCTCCACCACTGCCTTGTTTTCTTTTCCCTTCCTACCGCCCAGAACTCCATCACGGTGCTGGTCAGCATGCCGTGACCAAGCGGAGGGGACTCCCGGAGCAGCCGTCTCAGACACAAGGGTGGACACGGTGAGCAGAGGGGTCCTGGGGTCCTGGGCAACCTCACGGAGCCATGGTGTCCTTCACTGCTGCAGTTGCACAAGAGAGGAATGAGATTCTGTACTATTTAAGGCATGCTATGTCGGGTGTCTTTGTAACAGCAACAATACCCAGCTTATACTCCAACCAAACATTGGGGTCCTGTCTGGTTCTGCTAACCTGGGCCTCTGCCTACCTAGAAGCCCTCCCTACAGCCTGTGCCTGGGTCCTGGCTCCTGCTGATCTACCTCCCCAGGGTAAATGGCCCTCTTCCTGGATTTCTGAATATCACCCACTCCAGGATTATTGACTCTCATACTTCGCTTGTCTTATGGGACATCTCCACTGCTCTGCGTGGAGCTGCCCGACCCGGACTCCTTGCGGGCACTACCAAAGTTGGCTTCACAACCGCACTTCCAGAGATTAAGCTCTACTCTCCCTGCTCCTTCAGCTGGTCGTGTCTCCCCGGAGCCCGTCCGCTCCAGGAGGAAGACTTGCTTCCAGGTCCTGACTCCTCCTTGTCCATCCTGTCCTGTAGCCACTAGCTAGACCACGCCTGGCTATGTTCTGAGATACGTGGGGGGAGGGGTGCCTGGCCTCGGGCAGGAAGCACACCGTCTAACTGCCAAGTCTTCCCTGACACCTTCCCCTGCTGACCCCAAGGCTGCCTGGAGTTTCTGCTTTCCACGCACACCAGCAAATGACTACACCGGCTTTTTGTAATAGAGGTGCCTTTCGTCGTTTGGCAGTTTACGCTTATGTTTGTTTTCCTTCACACAGCTTTACGGTTGATAATGTATCATCAGATAGGATGTTGGCCCGAGGACGTATACGGTTTCAGGAACACACATTTCACATTTGCCGAAGCACACGGGGCCTAGCTTCAGGTAAAGAATCACCTGGGCACACGGCGAGAAATGCGTTTGATTAACTCTGAGCTGCCGAAGGAAACTCATCCAGTGCCCTGGATTGGGCAGCTACTGTTTATTTATGCAAAGAGTAAGAGAAAGTCATTAAAGCCCCCATTCCTGGTAATTGTCTCAGAAATTGAATTCCCTGGCCTGGCAATTAGTTTTATACAAAGCAAGAAGATATTTGGGTTAATAACCTCGCGTTTTTATGACTCAATCAATATTTTGGTTGCTGCAGGCTGCTTTGCTACTGTAAATTTTGAGTACAGTGCTTGTGGGGTGTATAAATATTTAGCTAGCCATTGAAGCATCAATGAATGAAATCATTTCTTCTTTTCTTTAATTTAGAAGATACCGTTGGCAGTGTCCTGGCATGCGGTGTTCATTTTAGCTGCTGTCATAGACGGGGAAACTAAATTGCTGTTGTGCTTTATGGTTTATTACTTTGTCACTTTGCATCTCTATACAGCAAGCATCTCTTTTAGATTCATCTCCTTCCAATAGGCCTCGAATAACCTAGTCACTTGCTTCATATGGTTTTGATCTGATTTTAACTTTACAGCCATGTTACCCTGTGTTAAGCTTTGTAGTATTTTGTGCATGTGTGTTTATGTGTGTGTGCATGGTTTAGTATCACAGACATAGTAGGAGTCACAACTAGGACTGGTTATGAAGTCCTTCCGTTTAGAATGTGATGACTTTAAAAACAACAACAACAAAAAACCCCCAGATAATCAGAGTCCAAAGCTGTAGCTATTCAACACCGAAACAGTCACGCAAAGTGAAGCCTTCTTTCAACTGGTTGTTTTGTCTAAAGCAGGCTTTCCCAAAATATGTTCCTCAGAAAGTGTATTCCTGGGGCGCTAATGGGATTCTATTTTGTTTCTATTGGGAAAGTCAAGTGGAAAAAAAAAAAAAGGTAGTACAATCCAGTTATTAGTACCTGCACTAGCCAAAGACACCTTGAGAGGGAACGACTGAACATAATTCTGCCCAGTGTTTTTCAGGCTGAATTATTAAGAGGGCTTCAATTCTTTAACAGTGTTTTAGAAAAGAACTATCAACTATTGTGCTTTTTTTGTAGCATGTGATTGCTTGGTGCTGGCACTTGCTTATAAAACTGAGTCAGTACAATAATCAGAGAGTTCTGGGGCGCCTGGGTGGCTCAGTTGGTTAAGCATCCGACTCTTGATTTCAGGCCACCATCTCATGGTTAGTGAGTTCGAGCCCCACATCAGGCTCACGGCTGTTAGCGAGGAGTCTGCTTCGAATCCTCTGTCTCTCTGTCTCTCTGTCTGTCTCTCTCTCTGCCCCTCCCCTGCTCATGCTCTCTCTCAAAAATAAATAAACATTAAAAAAATAAAATAATATTAAGCATGTTTCTTTACCATAGGCCTTCTCAGGACCTTTATATGTTAATGTGTGTAAGTCTCTTGTTTATTTTCATTTTTTTAATGTTTTTGCAGAGCATCTTAAAAGACTGATGTTCTGCCAAATATACTGACATACTTTAGGCAATACTGGCCTAATCTCTACCTAACAACCCGCTTGGATTGAATTGCCTGCACTGACTGTTACTGGAGTTCATGATGGAGGTGAGAAGCCTGTATGTGTTTTTCTCCCCATCTCTCCATCCACGTCGGTCCACACTGCCGAATCCTGGGGGTTGAGATTTAGGAACATCAGATGGGCTGAGGTTTGGACCTTGGCTCAGCCACTTACGACCTCTCTAATCTTCAGCAAGTCATTTAACCTCTTTGCCCCTCAGTTCCTTCATCTGTAAAATGGGGATAATCATATACCTTCCTCACAGGGCTGTCACATAGAGTAAATGAGATAATGCCTGGGAGGCATTTTGTACACCGCCTGGAACATAGTAAGTCTTTAACAAATCTGAGATTTTATTATTATAACCCATTCTGTAAAGCCCAGCTTAGACCGGATCCTCTTTGTGAAGCCTTGTGGGTTTCCTCCACACAGAATCAATTCCTTTTTCTTCTGTATTCTGGTCATTTCATACCTTTAATGTGTGATTCATTATAAATGCCTCAAGGAGAGGGGCTGTGTCTTATTCATCTCTGTGCTGCAGTAGCCTTCTAACAGGCCATCAAACCCAAAGGATGAGAAATGGACTCATCCCAACAGATTCAGCTTCCTTTAAGTCCTTGAAAGACCCATTCAAAAGTATCATTTACATGTTATTGCTCAGCCGCAAGAGAAGCTGAGAAACGCAGTCTTCATTCCAGACCTCTCCTTAGTTAAAGCAATGCTGTGAACTACCTACATATGTATCTTCTATGTCTGCCTGTCTGTCTTGTCTGTCTGTCCATCTGCATCTATCTATCATCTATCTATCTATCTATCTATCTAAGATGAAGCCAAAGGGTCAAGGCTAATCCTGCAAAAATCCCTTTACCTACTCTCTGGTGAGTGGAAAAGACTCTCACTGCCTTTAAGATAGTGATTTCAGGATAGGAAGACAACAGCTTCCTGATGTTATTAATCTCACTGGGCCTTTGTCACACTAGAAAACATGTTTCATATCGACACACTTGAATACTACTTTAGAAAAAAAGCCTTCCAGGAAAAAATAACATAAGCGCCTCTGCAGCAGTAATGTCCCCACTGAGGCAGGGCGAGCACACACACTGAGCATTTCGACAGCAAAACATGCAGATATTTACTTTGGCATCAGCCAGATTTCACAGTTAGTACTTCCCAGGTCTAAGCTATATAGTCATATGTCTTCCAAAAGAACATGCAGGCAGCAATACGAAATCCTAGATTTAATCAAATTATACCTGTTTCTTTAGCATGAGCCAAGCTTTCTGCCAGTTCATAAGCATCTTTTCATTTGGTTTTCCTGATGTGATACGTGAGTGAGAAATCGGGTTAATCCAGTAGTGAGGACATGCAAATAACAGAGACCTGATCTGAATAAGCGTTGGGCAGACAAAGCTTTACTGAGTATCTTTTCTTTTCTCGTTGAGGCAGAAAGGAGTTGATACAATCAAGGACACACAACTCTTCAATTCCCACGGGGAATAGCTAACTAATTCATGGAGAACAACAAAAATCCGCAGATGATCTAAAACCATCATACTGACGGGCAGATTTCACTTTCTCTTTCGATGAGATATCACCCAACTGGCAAACAAGCATAAACAATGATTACTTGTCCATTTTCCCTTTGCCTCCTTCCCCTTACGTCGTTTCTTCTTATTGAACTTCATAAAAAATATTAATGGAGTATTTGCTATTCAATGTAAGAAAGACAAACTGTAAGAAGGCCTTGACCTCACTGAGTTTCGTTAACAATGCAGCTGGTTTTATTTGTAGGTTTTGTTCATTTTAACCCAGATGGGGGCTCAATTATATAACTACTGGCCACCTCGGTTTTTACTTGTATATTGTAGAAAGGGTCCCACATTAGTATATACAAAAATATGGAATATATAGGGATATGGAATATTCCTACAATGGAAATATGCAATAGTCACAGATAGGAATATGGAATTCAGAAGGATTGAACTACCTCATTCTTTTTTAAACAGCTACATACTATGCCTTTGTGTGAAAAGACCATAATTGACTTCACCAGTCCCTAAAGAATGCACATTAAATATTTCGCTATTACAAATAATGCTACAATGAATAAACTGTATGTTTTTATTATTATTTTCTGGGCGAATACATCTGTAGGGTAAATACCCCAAAGTTGAACTGCTAGTTGAATTGCAGAGAACATGTGCTCTTGTGATTTTGTACCTATTATAATGTCACACTGTCATTCATGAAAGAATACAATTTAAATACGTACTTCACAAACACTTATATATTTACTCTTATATATTTGGCGCTTTACTGGTGAGTGCCTTCTCCAAGAGAGGAAATTACCAAATTTTATGAATTTTGCCAATTAGAAAGATACAAAAAAGTCACCTCGTTTTTAAAAAAATTTTTGTAACCTTTATTTATCTTTGAGAGACAGAGAGACACAGAGCACGAGCAGGGGAGGGGCAGAGAGAGGGAGACACAGAATCTGAAGCAGGCTCCAGGCTCTGAGCTGTCAGCACAGAGCCCCACGTGGGCCTTGAACCCGGAAACCACGACATCATGACCTGAGACGAAGTCGGTGCTTAACCAGCTGAGCCACCCAGGCACCCCTTCACCTCATTTTTAATTTGCATTTATTTTATTATGAATGAGGATGAGTACTTTTTGTATGTGACAGAGGTATTGAGGTCTATTCCTGGATTCTCTATTCTGTTTCATTGATCTGTCTGTTATGTGTCTTTTTCCAGAATTAAGAAGGATGATTTTCAATTGAAAAAGAATGTATAAGAACAGCCAAGCTCTACCACTGATGGGCTCAATTGAATGAATCCCTTCATCTCTTTGCTTTTAGCTTCTCCAGCTATAAAACAGGAGAGTTGGATCCGGAGAGCTTGTTTACTCCGTATATGTTGTTGAGTGTTAGGCTCTGCTCTGGGGATGCAAAGGAGGGGTCAAGGCAGATGCTGTCTCTGCTCTCATGGAATTTACAATCAGTGTGGGGAGGGGGCAGACACTAGTCAAACCCTGACACAGATCATTGATAGTCCCTAGCAATGGAAACAGAAAAAAGTGGGGAGCAGGAGCAGGAGCAGGGAGAGGACCACAGAGATTTCCTTTGGAAGGAAGTGAAGGAAGTGAAACAGATCTGCTGGAAAAACAGCTAGCCAGGTGAAGGAGGGGGTGGGTGCGTGGAAAGGAAGAGTTTTCCAGATAAACTTTCTGGCATGTGAGGATCTGGCGTGAATAGAAAACTCTCTACTGTAGCTGAAGATAGAAAAATAAGGGGAAAGTGATAGGAGATGAGAGAGACTACAGAAGTAGGTAGGAATCAATCCATGTAGAGTCTTGGGTAAATATTTTGGTCTTTATCCTAAACATTTGTCTTGCTTGGGACCTCTAGGAAGTCAATTCTGAGTTGAAGACTAAAGTGTTGTGTTTGTCCAGCATACAGAATTTCTCCAGAAAGCTTACGAGGAAAACCATATTTCAGAGCATTTCTTATCAGAGAGAAAGGAGGGAGTGATTTATCTGCCTAGTATTCTCCCAGCTTCCGTTGCCCATTGTTCATGTTTCACTCTACTGAAAGCTAATTCCCCTGTGCTGAGTACATCACTCAGCCCCTCAGTGGTCATGACCAAGGTGGGGCATTTCAACCAAACCCGGAAGTTGAGGTGTATGTGAAACACCCAACCCAGAGAAATAAAAGGAAGGAGTCCAGGGAGTCTGAGAGGCACACAGATATTGTGTCCTACGTACCATTAAAAGAATCCACGCAAGAGAGTGACATAGTGTAGCAACGTTGTGGAGAACAGTTAAGTGAGCGTTGAGAATGGATGTATGGAAACCAGTTGGAAAGCTATTGAAATGGTCCAGAAGAGAGCAGATGATGCCCATGGTTGGTGGTGGCTGTGGAAATGGAAGGAAGTGAATGGATATGAGAAATTTTAGGAGGTGAAATCACCAGGCCTAAGGGAATGGTTAGATTTGAGAAATAGAGCAAGTTACCAAGTATGTCAGGTTTATGACTTGAGCAACCGGTAGATGGTGGCATCATTTGCTGAGATAAGAATCTGAGGTAGAGAATCAAGTTTAGGAGGAAAGATTATGACTTGGGGTTTGAACTTGGGGCTACGAGAAGTCCAAGTGAAGATTTTGAGTAGGCAACTGAATATATGAGTCTGATAGTTGGCGCTATCAATGTGGATGGTAGTGACTGAATACGGAGTGAGAAAATCATTTTTAGCTTAAGAAACAGAAACATTGAATAGCTCTGCAGAGAAGGATGGTAATGGAAAGAAAGTAAAGAAAGAACAGGGCAGGAGTAGGAGGAAAACAAGAAGAACCCAGGGAAGAGGGTTTCGGGAGAGAAGGGTCCCAGGGAGACTAGGAAAGGTGAGTACTGAGTCCTTTGCCTTAGCAACATGGTGGCCATTAGTCATTTTAGCCAAAGTCATGGGGCTGAGGAGTGAGGGAAAATGATGAAAATGAAGAGTAGGATAATAACCTATTTGAGAAGTTTTACTGGGAAGGAGTAATATAGCAGGAAGGGAGTGTGGGTTGAGATGGGTGCCTTTGTGTTATCTTAAGAGGGACTTGAGTATGTTTAAGTGTAAGTAGGAGCGATTCAGTGTCAGAGAAGGATGAGTATACAGGGGAGAAGAGACATGTTATAGTGTCAGGCTCGAGAGAGGAGAGGAGGGGCTGGGATCCGGAACCCAGGGCCTGACCTTAGGGTAGAAAGCATCAGCCAGGATGGGAGGAAAGGAAGGGGGATGGTGTCAGGGTAGGTGGGGCTGCAGCCAGAAGTTGAGGGTCTGGTTCAATGGCTTCAATTTTTGAAAACTAGGAGGCAGGTTATATGCAGAAATGTGTGATGAGGGTTGGAAAGGTAGGAAGGAGAATAGAGAGAGTTTAAAATAGGAGAAACTCCCAACTTAGTGATCTTGAGAGAACTTCCCTCACGGGCAGCTTGGAGAAATGATAGCTGGGTGGAGGGAAGAGGTGAAATGCAAAGAGAAGGAAGGGGGTCACAGCCAAC